CCCCCCCCCCCCCCGCTCCCCTCTCCTTCACCCCAAGATTCAACCACAACCATCATTCCCCTTCATCCTCTTTGTATTTCGAGAACGCCTTGCCCTTGCTCTTTTCTGTGTGAATGTACAGCCCAGACGCCCGCCCCCCCCCCTCCCCCAACATTTAGCAGCCAAGCTCTTAGGTGTGTTGTCTCCTCTCACAATCTTCCTCTCTCGGTGGCGGCGATGCTATTTGATAATTATTCTAGTTTTTTTTTATTTTTTCGTTTATTTTTTCTTACAGGTGCTACAGCCGTTGGATGCCTTGCTCGACGCGGAGGAGTCCCTGCTGTACACGCCCGACGTCAACATGGGCAATTCTTACACCCCCGTGATGCCGGTGCAGGGAGGATTTCTCGTCGTGCGCCCGGATCCCGAAGTGTTCCAGGACCTCGTCCAGGTGCCGCCGCCGCCGCCGCCGCGGCCGCCACCGCTGCCGGTGCCGGTGCCGCTGCCCGTTTTGTTGTGGTCATGACTGTCGCCGTCTCTCGGTATTGTTGCTTGTTGTGAATTGTGCCCCTGCAAGTGAAAAATGCCCGAAAACCAACACAAACACACACCAAAGCTACCAAGTAGGACACGACAAGATGATCGACTTCATAAGTCGCGAGGGAAGGAATTGCTGTACCCTTCTCGCGATAAATATATCTCAGGCAGGAACCGCAGGAGGGGTCGAACTCCCCCCTCTTATTTGACCCCGGTTGGGTCTTCTAGCTGGTAGACGTGGAGGATAGGGGCCAGAGGGGCAGACGGCAGAGTACAATGATGGGAGAAAATATATAGGTAAACAAGCACCTGTGGTTGTGGTTGTTTGTTGCTGCTATTGGGATTCCAGGTACACAAAGGGTCTAGCCGCGCGGTCGTGCCAGTCTGGCGCAATGTCGGCAAAACCCTCCAAAGACACGCCGCCGATGCCCTTGCAGGACACAGCTCATTCAACCCAAAACACATGCTACTTTGGGGAGCCTGGGTAGGCGTGCCCTGATCATGCTTGCCCGTCGTACTGCCGGGTGCGGCGTAGCCGAGAGACGGGGATGGGTCAATCCCGGTCAAGTGCAGCTAACGTTGTTCAGTTCCACAACTGTGGAGCAGTTCCAAGGCTTTGTGGGCCTGTCCTCGTCAGCTGGAGCTTGCACAGCTTTCGACGAACCCCGTGCACGACGTTCGGACTGTTCCCCTTTCCGTATGCGTGCATGCATGCGTATTTCAGACATTTGGTTGAGCTCCAAAAGCCGCAGGTATTGGATACGAAAAACCAAGCCCCGTGTGGTGCTGCCGTAGCCGTGCGAGTCTTCTCGGAATTTCATTTGGTTCTTGTGGTCTGTGTGCCTTTCTACACGTTGCTGTACATGTTTGACGCACTTACCGGGGTTACTCAGGAGGGGAGAACTTTCCATGGTTGCCTTGTGTACAAGAGGTTCCGGTCTAGTGGAGAAAAAACGGCGATATTGTTCACTTCTCAACAACATATGCGAGGATTCAAAGTTGCCCTTATTGTTGTGGAGTCTCTCATGTTGGCTTTGTGAAACGGTGTGTAGGAAGTTAGGGGTTTTCCATTGGCAAACCACTGGGGAGGGGGGGCATACCCCGACCCAGCGCGTTGCACGCCTGCCCTCCTTTGCCTTTCTTTATTTTTCCCGCCAGGTCGTCAAGAGGACCCCCTTCTATCCGTCGAAGGGGTGGGCGGGCAGCATGATCGGGCTTTTCTGGGGAGGCGTCAACGTGCAGGGGATTCTGCCGTACTACTACGAGGTATCCCGTCCCGGTGGAAGGAAGTCGAACCGTGATTATCTGATGGTCCTGGTTGTTGTTGTTGTTGTTGTTGTTGTTGTTGTTGTTGTTGTTGTTGTTGTTGTCGGGCCAGGTAGTTTTTCCCCTTCTCTCTTCGTCTGCCTCTCTCTTCCCCTGCCTGCCTCTGTATTCTCTGTCGTCTGTCTTGTCTCTTCCCCCCCGCCGGCCCCTCCCCGCCATGCACGTATGTAGTGACATCTCCCCTGTTCTTTGCTTGCTGACGGTGTACGATGCAGCAATTTCAAATCACTAATTTTGTGTTCGTGGGCGACGTTGTTCTTCCTTTCGCATGTTTTCCCTTGCGCTTCTTTTTGCGCTTTCCTCGGCCGCCTCCTCCCATTGGTTCGATGATGTCTTCCTATCAACAGCCCAAACCTTAGCACAAGGCCATGTCCCCTACTTTGCTATGTGTGCCAACCCCTGGCAACCCATCACGCACACGTTGGACGCGACCTCCACAATATCGCAACCGGGACGACCCCTTCTGTGTGTGCGTTGAGGCCCAAGGTTAGCGATCTCAGGACGAAACCCTTGCCAACAAGTAAGCACCAATCCGTCCTCCGCCCCCTTTATTCAACTCCCGCTACCCGCCCCCGCCTTTGGTTTGGTCTGGCCATACAACATGGCGTAGCGCCGAGCTCCTGCGGGCGTCTCGTACAGATCGGTCGACCGGAGCGTGTACAACAACATGGTCGACAGGCCCAGCTGCCAGGCTGTCGACATTTCCCAAGTCAGGCAAGAGGCGCCGCCGTACTTTGACGTTTCCCTAGCCGAGTTGTACCCGTAAGTCTCGAGCCGAGAATGCTGCGATAGTGCGGAGGGCGGCGCCGGTTGCGAAGGGAAAGGGGGCTGGGCTTCCTGTAGTGTCGCAAGTCGCCGGAGCTCCCCCACCTCCGCTGCCGTAGGTTTTTCAGGGCGAGAATCTATCTACCCAGACGAGTGCGTCGACAGGGGTCGTTGTCTCAATGCTCCCTGTGCGCCAGAGACGTGTATGTGTGTGTCTGGGGGGTGTATACTCTCCGGTATTCTTCGCGGGAGGTTTCGATGAACTCAACATGTTGGATGAAGCATGCAATCGGGGACGTTAGGTTTGGGTCAGGGTTAGGGATAGGAATAAGGTCTACATACCCCCTTTTTCACTTTCATTAACCTTCTTCGCGAGGCGGTCCTTACTCTAGCGCTCCAAGTACCGGATAGTATTTTCATGAATTGGTGTTCTTGCTGTTCGTTAGACCACGGACCTGGCTATGTATACCCCTCGCAACTAAACCCGCTCCGCCCCGTTCTTGTTGCTGTGGTCGCAAGGGGCCGCAATCTCCTGTTTGTTGGCCAAAGAAATCGCTATTGGGGCTTTTTTTTGCAAACCCCCGCCGGTCGTGTACTTCACAAAAGATGATGCGGTATGCTCCCAAACAATGGTGTGCACCCGGCATCCTCCCGTACATTCCTGCCCCTTGTCCTGGTGTTGCGGTGGCACTTTTATTGTGCCGTCTACATACACGTCGTGCTTCCCTCGCAACATGCCTTTTGCTTTCATAAGCATCCCATCTCTCGGTTCCCATAGACGTTGCCGTTCCCCTCTCTCTTGTGCTCTTCCAGGAGCGCCCACTTCACCAATTGCCAGAAGCCGTGGGAGTGCCTGTACCCACATCCGAAGCAACCGCTTTGCTCACGCCTAGCGGAGCGATGGTTCGAGATGCGAACCCTGGTAAGTGTTAAGATTGGTCGTGTCGAGCGTTCTTATTGTTCTTCCTGTTGTTGTTGTTGTTGTTGTTGTTGTTGGCGTTCATTAATCTCATGCGTCATCAATGTGGGTGCTTGTTCTTATTTTCTGTTTCGGGCCCGTCCAAAAATCGTGCCATGAAGCAGGCGGAAAGCGCGCTGGGGCTGCCGCACAAGGAAGCCTGCCCGACGGGATTTCGGTCGGACTACACCCCGATAACGCTGCTAGCAACGAACTCTTCCGAAGAGCCTCACGGGCCTTGACCAGAGGGTCCTTGCGTGGGCTCAGGACGCCCAGGGGATGTGGGGATGATTGGGGATACCCCCAGAAATTTGTCTTGCTGTAGTGCGACTATGTTTGCGGAGCTGCAGTCCATCGTGCTGCCGAACGGGCCGCTTTCTGGTAAATAATATGGTCCGTTCGGGCAAATATTCACAATCTTGTTTTTCGCGATATCTTTCGAAAAAAAACGATTTGGAAAGTGAAACAACTTTGGGCGTGACCGCGGCGTCGAGCTTCGTCGATATCCGATGAGTTTTTGGTGATTGGGTGAAATGCGACATTTTTGACCAAAATGACCCACGGAGCCCCCA